TTTGAATGTCTAGTTTATAAAATGTTCTCTATGTTTTTATGTTGGCAGGGAGAATATGGCTATGGAAATCACGCAGGTTCTATTGAGTGCCCAAGCTGTTGATTCAGCTGTAAGGAAGCATGCAGAAGAAACTCTGAAACAGTTTCATGAGCAAAACCTTCCTGCCTTCTTGCTGTCCCTTTCTGGGGAGCTTGCTAACGAGGAGAAGCCTGTGGAAAGCCGTAAATTAGCAGGTTTGATTCTAAAAAATGCCTTGGATGCCAAGGAGAAGCACATGAAGCACGAGCTTTTCCAAAGATGGCTATCGTTAGATGTTGCTGTGAAGGGACAGATCAAAGCAGGCTTGTTACTGACCCTCTCTTCTGCTGCACCGGATGCTAGGTCGACAGCATCACAAGTCATTGCCAAGGTTGCGGGCATTGAAATGCCACATAAGCAGTGGCCTGAGCTAGTAGCTACCCTCTTATCCAATGTTCATCAGGTCTCGCCCCATCTCAAGCAAGCCACCCTTGAGACGCTGGGGTATATGTGTGAAGAAGTGGAACCAGATGTTGTCGATCAAGATGAAGTAAATAAGATACTCACAGCTGTGGTTCAAGGCATGAATGCTAACGGTGGTAATACTGAAGTCCAGCATGCTGCCACCCGGGCTTTGTACAATGCGCTTGGGTTTGCCCGGGCAAACTTTTCCAATGATATGGAGCGTGACTACATAATGAGGGTTGTATGCGAGGCCACTCTATCGCCTGAAATCAAAATCCGGCAGGCTGCATTTGAGTGTCTGGTCTCAATCGGCTCGACTTATTACGAGCAGTTGTCTCCGTACATACAAGACATCTTCAACATCACGTCCAAGGCTTTCCTGGATGATGAGGAGCCCGTCGCTCTTCAGGCAATTGAGTTTTGGAGTTCGGTCTGTGACGAGGAGATTGATATTCTGGAGGAGTATGGAGATGATTTCACTGGCGATTCTGATGTCCCGTTCTTCAATTTCATCAAACAGGCACTGCCGGCACTTGTTCCTTTGTTACTTCAGACGCTTCTTAAGCAAGAAGAAGATCAAGACCAGGATGAGGGCTCGTGGAACCGTGCGATGGCCGGTGGAACTTGTCTTGGCTTGGTGGCACGTACAGTCGGGGATGATATTGTGACCGCTTGTGATGCCGTTTATAGAAGAAAATATAACGAAACCTGACTGGAGGCAGAGAGAGGCCTCCACTTATGCTTTCGGCTCCATATTGGAAGGCCCCTCCTCCGACAAACTAATCCCTCTTGTCAACGTTGCTCTCAACTTCATGCTGACTGCTTTGACCAATGACCCGAGCAGCCATGTGAAGGACACAACCGCATGGACTCTCGGGAGGATCTTCGAATTCCTTCATGGGTCGACCTCCGAGAACCCAGTCATCACACCTGCCAACCTCCAGAATATCATCACCGTCCTCCTCCAGAGCATGAGGAATGCTGCCCCAAACGTGGCCGAGAAGGCCTGCGGGGCCCTCTATTTCCTGGCCCAGGGCTACGAGGATGTGGTCCCACCCTCGCCACTGACTCCTTACTTCCAGGAGATCATCGGGTCCCTTCTTGACGCCACTCGCAGGGAGGATGCTGGTGAGTCTCGGCTTCGGACTGCCGCCTATGAAACGCTGAATGAGGTCGTGAGGTCCTCCTCTGGGGACGAGACGGCCCGCCTGGTGCTGGAGCTCGTCCAAGTCATCATGGCCGAGCTTCACAATACGTTTCAGTCGCAAACACTCTCTTCCGATGAGAGGGAGAAGCAGAACGAGCTGCAGGGCCAGCTGTGCGGGTGCCTCCAGGTCATCATCCAGAAACTTGGGGCATCCGAATCGACCAAACACTCCCTGGTGCAGTATGCAGACCAGATTATGAGTCTCTTCCTGCAGGTATTTGCATGCAGGAGTGCCACTGTACACGAGGAGGCCATGCTTGCCATTGGCGCTTTCGCCTACTTGATGGGCCCTGCCTTTGAGAAGTATGTGCCGGATCTCTACAAGTATCTGGAGATGGGCCTGCAGAATTTTGAGGAGTACGAGGTGTGTGCGGTCACTGTGGGCATTGTGGGGGATGTTTGCAGGGCATTGGAGGACAAGATCCTTCCTTACTGTGACGGGATCATGACCCTGCTTTTGAAGGATCTGTCGAGCAATGAGCTGCATAGGTCCGTGAAGCCTCCCATCTTCTCATGCTTTGGGGATATAGCGCTCGCGATAGGGGAGAATTTCGAGAAGTATCTGATGTATGCAATGCCCATGCTCCAGAGTGCAGCTGAATTGTCTGCCCACACGTCAGGCAGCGATGATGAGATGATCGAGTATACGAATCTCCTCAGGAATGGGATTCTGGAGGCGTATTCGGGTATATTTCAGGGTTTCAAGAACTCGCCGAAATCCCAGCTCCTGATGACGTATGCGCCTCACATTCTGCAGTTCTTGGACAGCATGTACAGTGCGAAAGATATGTAAGTATAAACTTTATTTGATCAAATGTATTTTATTTTATTTTCCTAAAACTGGGGGAAAACGATGGAGGTTTAGCTGCCTCAATAATTACAAATACACCCCTCCTGTGATATATGTTTTTCTCTTAAAAAATGCAGCCCCATAAGTATATATTTGTACGGAATTTCCAAAACCTTGAGGAGATTCTTATACTCCGTAAGATTATATGCATAAAGTTGTGATATTTATTTCTAAATGATGATGTCTGATTGTTTCACGTGTTTGGTTACAGGGATGATGTAGTAATGAAAACTGCTATCGGTGTGCTTGGAGATCTAGCAGATACTCTGGGAAGCAATGCTACTTCTCTTATGCAGCAATCTCAGTCGAGCAAAGACTTTTTGAACGAGTGCCTGAGTTCTGAAGATCATTTAATTAAAGAATCTGCCGAGTGGGCAAGGGTGGCTATCGCTCGTGCCATATCTGTCTAAGGGGGTTGTCATGCTTGCATATGCATATGGTTGAGTCCAGTCCAGTTCGTTCCTGAGTCGTGTCATCATACATTGCTGAATTTTTTCCGTAAAAAATGGAGCTAAAATCTTTTAAATTATAGTCAAGCCCATGCATCAGCATCATGCTACCATAGGGTAAGTGGGTTTATGTTCCTTAAGGGCTTGTTCTGATACATTCTAAAGTTGAGGATGAAGATTATTGTCAGTTTTCTTCTGAGTTTAGGGAAACGTACAAAAATTACTAGATGTTTGGGTTTTTTACAATTAAACCCAGTTATGTTTTGTTATTGACAAAAATCCTTTTTTTTTTTTTTT